GGGGTTAGGAGTGGCAATGATGAAGGTGTGGCCTCAAAATAGTGGCTAAATTCCAGGATGTCAAGCTTCTTTTTTGGTTTGGTTTTGTTTGGTTGAGATGGGGTTTTGCCTTGTAATCCTGGCTATCTTCGAACTCACTCTGTAGACTGGGCTCACCTCAAACTCAGAGATCCACCTGCCTCTGCCTCTGGAGTGCTGGGATTAAAGCTGTGAGCCCTGGCCCCAGAGAAAACAAGCTTCTTGGCTGAAGAAAGGAGGAGCTCCCATCTGAGCCAGCCAGATGGACGGTAGTTCAGAGAGGAGTTCAAAACTTACAGATATTGGGGGGTAAATAAAACACCACCACGCTATAAAGTCCATCCCTCTGATGATCGTGTTATTTCTACTGTGTGTAAAACGTCCCTGCTGTCATGAAACCATCTTAAGAAGATAACAACACCATTTAAGATCTGTTTTCAAAATCTTTTGGGTGGGGACTATCCTTAAATTGAGGACTCAGCTTCTAAAAGGAATTTATCAGAGAGTGGGCAGTGCTAGTGATCAATTGCTGACCCTCCTCTGCATCTCCAAACGCTGGCCCAGATGAAATCATACTTTTTTATCACTTTTTCATTAAACTCTTACCACCCTTACCACTCAGATTTCCACTGATAATCTACACAGTCTTTTTCCAATCTACACAGTCTTTTCCCCATCTTGAATTTGATATTGTTCATATAGGAAGTCATCTATGTGACTGGATAAAGACCTGAGAATCATAGATAGCCCTATTAAGTAAACAGCAATTCTAGTGCTGATACACACCCTGGATAATGTTGCTATTTGATTAAAGGCTAAATTGCAAAAATTGATAATGTGATTACATGATACTCATAACTGATTTCATGCCTATAATTCCTTTCCTCAGGAGGATGAGCTAAGAGTGTTGGTAAAGAGTTCCGAGCCAGCCGTGGCTGCATATCCAGAGTACATCTAAAAAAATGTGAAAAGTGGCATGGACATCCATCTGACAAAGATGCAGCATATATCAATCTTTACTGACTAGTAGTTATTTTTCCTTTAAAGCCATCTGAGCCTATACTGATGAAAGCTGACACCCTTCTATCCACAGCTATCTGTAGTAACTCTTCTGTTTTGCGCCCGTTATGCCAGTGTCAAGTGTATGAAGAGAGGTTGATTTTTGCCCAGAGCTCAGTGTCTGGAAAGACTATAGGAAGGACAGAGGATGAATATTCCTTGTCATCCATAGTGACCTCATGTCAGCACTTGGGGGCCTTGCTGATGCAGATTCTGAGTTCACAAGGTCCTCCTAAGTGCCCCCTTGTCATCCACACTGCATGGGGCACCTGTAGATGCTGCTGTCCCTATAAATGGCCTTATTTCAGCAAGCATGGACCTAGTCTGTGAGCACCCTGATAACAGAAGGTCCCGAGTGTGCAAAGTTATTCAGAAAGCATGAGGTACCTGTGTCTGTAGACATGAATCCGGTCCATGTGGGACCCAAGGACAGAGGTTCCTGTGTGTTTTGTATGGCTTTGCTGGTACACCGAGCCCAAACATCAGTCAAGCCTTTGGAGTTTTCTCTATAACCATGTCTGTAGTCCTCAGAAAGCAAATCATTATTCCTAACATCAGAGCCCTGAGAGGAGGGCCACCTTGGAGACACCAGCCCATGAGGCTGCCCCTAAGGACAGTCAAGGAGCACACCTTTGTTCATATGAGCAGCACATAGAATGCCAAGTAGTTCCTTGGGTTCCAGAGGCTCATGAGAGGTCAAATCTTTGTCTCTTGGTGTCCAGACAGCCTGTTCAACTGCCCAGCTCCAAGATATGTCAAAGAGATGTGGTGTAGGAGGTCCTTCTGTCTTTGTATTGCTTTCATTGGTTAATAAAGAAACTGCCTTGGCCTGTTGATAGGGTAGAACTTAGGTAGGCGGGGATGACAGACTGAATGCTGGAAGAAGGAATGGTGTAGTCAGAGAGACGCGATGGATCTGCCAGAGACAGATGCTGGGAACTTTACCACTGCCATGTGGCGATACACAAATTAATAGAAATAGGTTAAATTGAGATGTAAGAGTTAGCCAATAAGAAGTTAGAGATAATGGGCCAAGCAGTGATTTAATTAATACAGTTTCTGGGCTAAGCTAGCTGGGTGGCCAGGATGAACAAGCAGCCCCTCCTTACAACAATTGGCACCCAACGTAGTCAACTAACTAAAGGAGGTGATCCAGTGCAATAAAGGAAAAGAGGATTGGTTGCATTGCTTTGGTTTAAGGTCCTAGACTACAAAAGGAGCAAACAGAATCCTGATCCCATACCTTCTGCTTTCAAGTTGGTCACTAGAAATAGAGTAGCCCTGTCTTTTATTCCCAGACATGAGCATCTTAGTTGAGGCCTGAGAAGAAGACCTAGGACTTCTCATCAGCCTGTGGGTCACCCAAGCTGCTTCTGAACTGCTCTGAGTCCTCTCTGGCTCAAGGAGCCTCAGGTTCTCCTGCTCGGCTTAAGGGGAGCTATGGGCTTCCCTGTCTGCTCAAGAGACTTTGTGACCTTCCTCATTTATACAAGGGGGCCTAAGATATTCTGCCTCTACTCAATGGATCCTGTAACCTTTGCCTTTCTCCTAAGGAGTTGAACTGGTGCCTTATATATACTGTATACATCACAGAGAATTAAATTTTGACATGAGCACAATATGTAATTATAGTTACAATTTATAGTTGAACATTTATACAGTATAGGTATTGATTAAATGTGAATTAAATATTAATAAAGTTTAAAATAATTTTGAAATATGGATTGATGTGCCAATGTGGAGCTGACTACATCCATGTAAAACCTGAGAAAGCTTGGAAAGGAATTCTAGACACACACACACAAAAAAAAAACAGAGTTAAGCATGGATTCTTGGTAGCCAGGATTTTTTTTTTCTAGAGGGGCCTGGTTTGCTGGTGGCGAGGAGGGGCACCATGGTCCATGGTTTCTTTAAAAAAGGTCTTTCTGATTTAGCATTAACAGCAGAAAACTAATTCTTGCTTAATAACTTTTGTTGTATGTAGTCTTGCTATGTTAAAGTTAATTTTTATTTAGACAGAAAAGGGGAAGTGATGTGGGATTTCCCCCTGTATACTATTAATATGTTTTATTACCATTGGTTAATAAAGAAGCTTCTTCCAGCCAATGGCTTAACAAAATATAGCCAAGCTAGAAAAGATATATAGAGTAGGCAGAGTCAGAGAAAATCCATGTTGTCGCTACAGGAGACAGATGCCAGACGCCGGACAGAACCTTACCGGTAAGCCACAACCAAGTGGTGATACACAGATTAATTTAAGATATAAGAGCTAGCTAGAGATACGCTTAAGATATTGACCACACAGTATTGCAATTAATATAGTTTCTGTGTGATTATTTCGGGTCTGGTCGGCCAGAAATGAACAAGCAGCCTCTATCAACAACAGGAATTTTAAGAATACTAATATAACAGTTGGAGAGATGGCTCAACAGTTAAGAATACTTCCTGTTCTTCCAAAGGACTGAATTTAGTACCAGTACTCATACATCAGCTCACAACCATCTGTCACATCAGTCTGATGGATGCCCTCTTCTGGCCTCCATGAGCATGAGGAACACACATAGTGCACAGATATACATGCAGACAAAGCACTCATACACATAAAAAAAAATCTCAATATAATGCATCAATTATTTGTTTTAGTACAATTGGTATCATTCCACTGTATGCATGACATAAACAGACACATAAATTAGTTTTTCTAGCATAATGAAAGAGGTTAGAACCCCTGTTCTGGGTCCTGGGGATATTTTCTGCACAGAACTGTTTCCACTTGAAACCTCTCTGCATATGGTTCCGGTATAAAATTTGCAGGATGGGATTTAAGGAAGAGTCCTGGAGGAATATTTTTTTTTTAATTTTGAGACAAGATGACTCTGTAGCCCTCTGAGTCAAGAAACTCATTATGAAGACCAGGCTGTCTTTGAACTCACAGAGATCTGCTTGCCTTTGCCTCTCAAGTCCTGGGATTAAAGGAATGGGCCGCTCACCTGGCTAGACTAAAACTCCACATGTGAAGCTCTAACTTGGAAAATTCCCAGCCTTCTGCTATCACCCTTGTCCTAGCTCACCATTCACGAACATAGGTGTCAGTTAGCCTGGGGTGCTAATGCACCTCTTTAATACTCTGCAGGCAGAGGAGGTGGATTTCTACAGATTCCAGGTCAACCTGGACTACAGAGTCAAACCCTGTCTCAAAAACATAAAAGAAAACCCCTGAATTTGGTGCTACGGATTCCTTTAGTTTTATTTGGTATGTCAGGGTGGGTGTCTGTTTGGTGTTGGTTTTTTTTTTCTTTTTGAGGGGTGAGTTGGATAGTCTCTCCATGTAGCTTTGCTTGGCACGGAATTCCCTATGCAGACCATGATGGACGTGAACTCATAGAGATGGCCTGCCTCCACCTCCCAAGTGCTCGAATTAAAGATATCTTTGATGTGAAAGGAAGGTCCCTGTGGGTTTGTTTCCATGCAGCAAGACCACAGAGAGAGTACGATGTGGAGACTGTTTCTGTTTAGGAGAGATGTATTCAGTGGATGAAAGTGAGTGTGTTGCCTCTCAGGCATCTCATGAAGATCTCACAGATACAAACTAATGAATGGGACAGATCTCTCCAGGTTGGGAGCTGCAGGTTCTGGGGAGGGAAGCTACAGGGAAGGCCTGGTGCATAGGGAAATTGCTGACCCCTGCCCACTCCTGGCGCTCCTCCTCCATCCCTCCCCCTGAAGATTCAGCTTTAGCCTCGTGAGACCTCGTGACCTGCAAAGACAGAGCCAGGCGCCTTTGCAGCCTAAGGGGCTGGGATGGGGAAAGAGGCCCAGGCACATGATGCCCAACCTCCCCGGCCAGCCCAGCACCTGACCTGCAAAAGCCTTGGGTTTTGCCGAACGGAGCAAGACCAATTACAAAAGCCTTGAGTTTTGCAATGGCCTCCCCACGCCTGGGCATCTTCTGCTGCCCCACGAGGGATGCAGCCACGCAGCTGGTGCTGAGCTTCCAACCGCAGGTGTTTCACGCGCTGTGTCTGGGCAGTGGCGCTCTCCGCTTGGTGCTGGGCCTCCTGCAATTCCTGCCGGGGCGCAGATCTGTGGGTCACACGGGGCCTGCGACGTCCCCACCGGCCTCAGTGCGCATCCTCCGCGCTGCCACCGCCTGCGACTTTCTGGGCTGCCTGGGTAAGGGCCTGCGGCCTGCTCCTTTTGGGGATGAAATTCGCAGCTCACGGAGTAGGATGTGCAAGGTTATGCAGCGGGCTCCTTTTGGGGATGGAATACGCAGCTCAAAGAATGTGCAAGGTTGTGCAGCCGGATCCTTTTGGGGATGGGATATGCAGCTCACGGGGTAGAACGTGCAAGGTTGTTAATTCAACAAGGAGAAACAGTCAACGCCATCCGTGCCCATGCTTTTTCCCCCAATGTGCTTATTTGTTGGTTGTTTTGTTTGTCATCTAAAAATCGCATCTTCTGAGCTGTTGTTGAAATCACCAGGGTCCTGTGCGTGCTGGGTCAAAGTCCCCTGTCCCCCTACCCCCCCCCCCCAGCGGCTCTGTCTCCAGTCCCTCAGACTGGTTTTAAATCTCAGGTATACAAAGTTCTATCTGGTGCATGTTCTGTAACACCTAAGAGAGACTCACATGGAGCTAATCTACATGGGAAGTAGAAAAAGACAAGCTCTCCTGAGTAAATTGGGAGCATGGGGACTTGGGGGAGGGGAGAGGCAGAGAGGAGAGCAGAGAGAAATATAGAGATGTAGAGCTCAATAAAAATCAATCAATTAATTAATTAACCAATCAATTAATCAATCAGTCAATCAATAAAAAAGAATGACACGGCATTTTAAAACGTTTCAGCATCCCAGAGAAGATAAATGGCACCTGAGGGCTGCATAAATTTATATAAAGCTGTGTGGGAATGAACACAGCATTTGTTCCTGATCTGAGACCCTCTTAACCCTGCTAGGGCCGAGTAGAAGGTGGGAAATAGATGCTGTGGTTCACAAAACAGCCATGGTTAACGACCTGGCCCTTAACACAAATGAATTTGTCGATGTCCTCTTTCTACTAGAGGACATCAACTCTAAACTAGGCGTTTTATTTTAACGGCTTGGTGTGGGAATTGCCCAATATGCATGCGGTTTGTCTGTAATTATAAAGAAGTATCCTGAATCCCCAGATGCACCCTGTCTGGGTTTGTAGACCTTTTTCCTTTTTCCTCCCTCCTGGCTTGGTTAATTGGAAACAAATCCCAGGCTGGATGTATTTCTGTCTGTCATGTTCCAATAGAAAGAAAGCACCAAAACCGAAAAATTTTGTGCAGTGAAGATCTGTTTTATACCATTGCCAAGAGTCACAAAAGTGTGGTTATAGATACTGAAGAGTTTGAGTTCCCATGAATACTCTGTAATTCCAAGTCACTTTCTCACATTTGGAGAGCACAACAGGAAAAACCGTCTCCTTTCCATGAGGGATAAATTGTTTTCGGTGCAGGATAACTCCGTGAAACTGGTATTTTCTTGATTTCTTCAGGATGTTCTCAGAATAGGTATCAATAAGTAATTTAGTTCTGTAGCTCAAATAATTCAAAGTAAAGATGTACTTAGATATCTTGTCAAGTAGCAAAAGAACATAATCCTTCAAAAAAAATCAGGTAGATGAGGTTGTAGACATGAGACCAAAGTACTTTTCAGAAAAGCTGTTCTATTTTATTAGTGGTGGCTTGTTAATTAGATTTGGCTTAAGAGTTCAGGGACCACACTAATCCTTCAGTGTATGTGTGGAGTAGTGTGTTACATAGCACACATGCATCTTCCCGGGTCCTTATATGATGAGTAACAGGGATATGAAAAGTACAAATGAAAAACACAAATCTGTCAGTGGCGCTGTGATTCCCAGTCACCAAACAAAACAGGGACAATGTTGTTGCTGCTTATAATGTGAACAGACGCTGAAGTGTCTGGGACAACTCTCATAATAACGATGGTATCGGTTGCTCAGCCTTCAGTTTCATTGTTATTGTTGCACACCAGTATGTCTGCTTTTCTCTTTCAACTTTCTCTCTTTCCTTTATTTGTTCCCTTTTTTATACCCTCTCTAAAACAACCAGTTTGTTGCAGTTTTGAATTGAAATCAATAAGGCTTTTACTTTCTAATTCTCATACAGGAATTGTTATCAGGTCCACGGTATGGGTAGCCTACCCAGATTTCATTGAAAATGTCTCCAGTGTGAATGGAACTGACATGTGGCCTGCTGCTTTCTGTGTGGGGAGTGCAGTAAGTCTCCTCCCTTTGTTCACCCTCCTGCTTCATGATGGTCTTCACACACACACACACACACGTGTGAAAACATACACACATGCACATGCCTCCCTCTCTCACCCTCCTCCTTCTGCTTCTGCTGCGTGATGGTCTTCAAAGTCAGCAGAGCAAAAACTGGGAATTGTGATGAATGCAACTCTCAGGTCACGCCCTGGACCTGAGGACCAGGAGTCAGTGTGAGGTCAAGTCTGAGAATGAACCGTCTAGTGCCTCAGCCTTCACCTTACACACACACACACACACACACACACACACACACACACACACACTTCTTTTCCATGTGTACGCAGCCCCAATCAAAGCCAGATATAGAGAAAGACAGGGAGATGGGATATGGTTTTCTAAAGGAAATATATTTAAATATACATGAAATATTCTACATGAAATTTTTGTATAAGTAAAACATGCAGTAAACACATGGATTGCACACAGAGAAACACTCTAAGCTTCTCACACTGTCCTGCCCCTCACAGGAATGACGTGAAGAAGGTATGAATGCCATGTAGAAGTCTCAGTTCCTCTGTAGAATTTCCAGCTTACTTCCATTTCTGGTCCCTATAATTCCCTAGCTGCATTCCAACAATGTCTCTGTCTCAGTGAACATGTGCCTTGTCTTAAGCACACCAGAGACAGAGTTCCCGTGTCAAATCTAACTCTATAGACAGAGAACACACATACATGTCAAAACTAACTCTAAAGACAGAGGACACACAGAGTTCCCATGTTAAATTTAACTACATAGACAGAGGACATACATAAGTGTCAAATCTAACTACATAGACAGAGGATACACAGAGTTCCCGTGTCAAATCTAACTCTATAGACAAAGGACACACAGAGTTCCCGTGTCAAATCTAACTACATAGACAGAGGACACGCATACATGTCAACTTTAACTAACTAGACAGAGGACACACATACATGTCAAATCTAACTCTATAGACAGAGTACACACAGAGTTCCTGTGTCAAATCTAACTATACAGACAGAGGACACATGCATACACAGACACCGCCAGGCCACAGCCACCATGCACTTCAGAGAATGTGTCCACGTGGGATGGTTCACTGTCAGACAGAGCTGTGTCTGCCCCTCATTGCAGGTGTGACTGCACGCCTCATGCATGCTGCTAGAATCGTTGACGCTGAGCTCCTCTTGGTTACAGATGTGGGTCCAGCTGTTGTACGGCGCCTGCCTCTGGTGGCTCTTCTGCTATGCAGTCGATGTGTACCTGGTGATCAGGAGATCAGCGGGACTGAGGTATTTATGCCTGGGAATACACACAGGGATGTCTTTCCTGTTTCTGTGAGGAAATTTTGAACATGCTATTGGGCATTGGAAGGTTCTTGGCGGTGCAGTTCACACCATACATCACCTGCCAATTGGATTTCTATCCAGAAATATTTATGCTTGCTCATTTTTATAGTGACATTTCTTTCGAACACCTGGTTTCCCTATGCAATTCAGGCTTCCCCTGAACATGGGATCCTCCTGCCTCTGTTTCCTGAGTGCTCAGATGAAAAGGATTTGTCAATCCCCAGCTGACAGCTCATTTCTATCAGATGCCAATGGTAAATTCAAAACATCAAGATTCTTCCAACCTTGCAAATAAGTAACTTTGAAAATTAAAGTTAGAGGCTGTTGGTAAGTTCAAGTGAAAAACATATGTGCTCAAATGTAACATGAGGACCGGCTTGTTGGGGTTTCTGTCCTGCCCAGTACTCCACAGTCTGTAATTCCAAAGGAAAATAACACGGAGTCTACATTAGGTTATAAACTGATTGGCCCATTAGGTCAGGCTTCTTGTTAACTCTTATAGCTTATATTAACCCATTATTCTCATCTATGTTAGTCATATGGCTTGGTACCTTTTTCAGCTGTCAGCTCACATATTGCTTCTTCGGTGATCTGAGCAGGAATGGCAGAGAGAGCTTCCTGCTTCCCAGAATATTCCTGTTCTCATTGCCCCGCCTCTACTTCCTGTCTGGTTGACCCACCTATATTCAAAACCCTGGGTTCAATTCAAGTGGCCACATCAAAATCCAGAAACCTAGAAGGGGTGGGGGAATCAGACATTTGGAAGTGAGCACTGTGTAAGAGCCTCTCACTCCCTGTCATCCTGCACTGATTTTATGCTCTATTTATCATCCGGGCTCCCATCTTGTCCCCTGCTTCTCAGAGGCTTTGGTATTAATTCTGAGGTCAACATTCATTTTAGCAGGCAGGATGATGGTGACACCAGCATCTAGAAGGTTTTGGGAAGTGCGTGTTTTATGAGGACGTGCGATCACGTGGAAAGTTAATTCATGGGTTGTGAAGCCCCAGAAACTTTTAAAAGGCAGGAGCGTGGGCAAGTCTCAAGCGTGAAGATATGTGCCTGTCCCTCTGCACATGTGTGACAGTTGCATGGCTTGTCTTCTTGTAGGACCCCTAACAGTGGGAGCAGGGGCTGTCTCTGACTCTGGTGCCTGCTTCCCTGGCCCTTTCCTCCTGCTGGGTTGCCTCATTCAGTCTCAATAGGAAAGGAGGTGCCTATTCTCAGTGTAACTGACTGATATCCATGGGAGGTCGACCTTTTTCTGAAGGGAACCTGAAGAGGTGAAAGGAGGGACTAGAAGGAGAGGAGGGAGGGGAAATGGCTGGGATTTAAAAACAAAACAAAACAGATAAATACAAAAATAGTAAGACTTTGAAGAAAAAAAATTATGTGCCTGTGTGGAATGGAGCAGGCTGGTGCGGGAGAATTATCTGTATTCTGTCAATCATGTATTTTAATAAAACACTGATTGGCCAGGCAGGAAGTATAGGCGGGTCAACCAGACAGGAAGTAGAGGTGATGCAATGAGAACAGGAGAATTCTGGGAAGCATTCTTCTGGAAGAATTCTTCTGGAAGCTCCCTCCGCCATTCCTGCCCAGATCACCAAAGAAGCAACATGTGAACTGACAACTGAAAAAGGTACCAAGGCATATGGCTAATGTAGATCAGAATAATGGGTTAATATAAGTCGTAATAGCTAATAAGAAGCCTGAGCTAATGGGCCAATCAGTTTTATAATCTTATGGAGTCCTGTGTGTGATTTTTCTTTGGGGCTTGCTGTTTGTGGGGTACTGGGCGGGACAGATACCCCAACAAGCAGGCCCCCTCATGTTACAGTGGGCTCCACATCCTAGAGTCGCCATGCATACAGCAGAAGTGACAAAATGCTCAGTTTCCGTGGAGACCAAGTTTCACCCTAGAGAGACTGACGCTGGTGCTAAATTCCAGGGCAGGATCCCAACTTGGCAAACATGGTTGGTAAACATCACACATCCTTTGGGATCTGGTCAGCACTCAACTGCTTTCTTTGGCAGAGCAGAGTCCTTTCCCCTTTTAGTTCCCATCCCCAGAAAGATCATTAAGATAGACTTAAAGTTTAAATTTTAGCTTTCACTGTAGCTCCCCCCTCTAGTGAAGAATATCGAGGTTTCAAAACAATATTACAAAGGGCTTGAGATCTAAAAAAGGCTTTAAACTAAACGTACATCATAAGAAAATAACAGTATGATTCTCCTCAGAGTCATCTCAAGCACCCCAGAGACGAGGGCGGGAAGATCTGGAGCTGGAGGTCAACTCAGGCTGAATAATGGGAACCTGTTGCAAAAAGAGATGAAAGTGTGGGCATCAGAAGCCATGAGATCTCAGACAGGCCATGAAGGCAGCTGGTCCCTGGTAGAGGGTGAGAGACAGAGACATGGATGGGCACAGCCATACAGAGTGAGGTTGGATATTTATTTAGTGTGTTATGGAGGGGAGAAGGGAGAAGAGCAGTGAGGCAGAGAGAAAGAGAGAGTCAGAGAGAGAGAGAGAGAGAGAGAGAGAGAGAGAAGAGGGAGAAAGACGGGAACACATACACATATAGAGAGAGAGGGGGAGGAGGGAGGGAGGGAGGGAGGGAGGGAGGAAGGGAGGGGGAGAAAGAGAGGAGAACACAGGGGAGAGAAAGAGAGGGGAACACACACACACACACAGAGAGAGAGAGAGAGAGAGAGAGAGAGAGAGAGAGAGAGAGGAGAAATGGGGAGAAGGGAAGAGAGCTGGAAAAGAAGATACTGGGGCCAGTAAGAAGGAAGGATAGACAGACAGGTAGTGGGCAGGGCTTGTCTCTTACAGGGATAGGACAGACCATTACAGCTGGGAACCGGTATGTGGATGTTCACTTATGATTTGACTGCCACGAGTTGCCACTGAGTGAGGGTGCAGTTCATATCTGGTTGGGTTTCAGAAGGTGTCTGTTATTAACACAGCCTTCTCCTGTATCCTGTGGCCCAGATGTGGCTGTTGTGGCACAGAAGGAAGAACCATTGCCCAGGTTTCAGTGACCTCTAGCCTTGGACTTGGCTAGTCTTGCCTCCTGGACTGGACTCCTTGCTCTGTCAATGCACACAGTGTGGCCCCAAATGAGGGGAGGGTGTGGTGGAATTTGCATATTCTGCTGTCATCAACAACACAGCTCCTGCATAGGGCCACTCCTGGGTAGCAGAGTCTGCATATAACTTAGATCTCTGGCAATGCTCACATCACAGACGTGCTCCCCTCAGATCTCTGGCAATGCTCACATCACAGACAGGCTCCCCCTCAGCTTCCTGCCCCTGTGAGGCCCAGGGAGGGATACTCCAGGAACTGGTTACAATGAGGGAGGTAAAATATGCTGGAGTCATTTCCTTGTACTCTCCCAGGCAGCTGGAACAAAGTGGTTTTGTTCCCCCTCTGGAAGCTTTGTGTGCGAGCCTCTGCTTCTTTTCCTGCTTAGTTTCTTGCTTTGATCCATGAGTATGACTTCTGCTCATACAGCTGCTCTTCAAAGTCAGAATCCCTGTCGAACGTGGGTGCCACTTGCTAGGTATCTTGCTGAATCTCACATGACAGCTAGTGTGTGTGACTGCTGGAGCCCAGCCTGCCCACCCAATCACAAAGAAGCATCTGTTTGAATGTTGTCCACTGCTCCATGGAATGAGCTGGCTTCACGTGGCTCTATGGAGTTACCAGGAGTATCTGAAGGTCATGTCCTCAAATCCAGAGAATTGGATGAAAAGGGTGGACTGGGTGGGTATTGCAAAAGATAAAGGAGGGATGTGCCTGGGATGTGAGCTATGCAGGGAATGGGGAGTGCAGAGGAGGGGGAAAGAAAAGAAAACCTTCAGATTTGCCAGCAGAATTTGGGATGTTTAATACCTACCAGGTCCTGAGACACAGAGTCTCTGTTGAGCCTTCAGATTATACCCTTTGTTTGATTTCCACCCAAGATATACATCCCCGTTTTATTTATTAGTTATTTTTAATTATGTGTATATTTGTGTGTCTGTGTGTGGGCTTATGGGTAAGTACCTGAAGGAGCTAGAAAGAGGGTATTACCTGGATCCCCAAGAGCTAGAGTTACAGACGTTTGTGAAGCTGCCTGACAAGGCTACAGGGAACTGAATTCAGGTCCTCTGCGAGAACAGTATAGTGCTCTTAACTGAAGCATCATCTCCCTAGCTTCCCACACTCTGTTGAAAACAGAGCCTTTTTTGTTTTCTAGATTTTAGTATTTTAAACCTTAACACTTACCTTATTGCATTTTGAATTTATTTTCAGAGTTTTTCTGTGTATTCCTGTTGTTAATGGAGCTCACTCTGTAAACCAGGCTGGCCTCAAACTCACAGAACTCTGTCAGCCTCTGCCTCATGAGTGCTGAGATTAAAGGTTTGTGCCATCACTGCTTAACTTATCTATCATCTATCTATCTATCTATCTATCTATCTATCTATCTATCTATCTATCTATC